CATGGTTTCAGGTACTCATTAACCATGTTCCTGAAGCTCCGAACAAGACTTTAAAACAAATGCCAACAACTTTCTGCTAGAGATTGTCTTCCTTTAGAAGTAGACTTTCACTCCCTAGTTACCAAAATATATTTAAAATACATTTAACCTATGTATAGGTAAGATTATATTATTTTAGGTATTTCATACTAATAATTTGATGGAAGTGAGGATAGGAATAAATGAAACAAGATTGGCTGGTAATTGTTAGCGAGGTGATCATGGGGACTCATACTGTTCTCTCTACTTTTGTATATGTTTGCATATAAAGTTTAAAATGTTTTTAAAATTCATTTAACCTAATGGATAATAAATTGGTGGTATGTATATGCCATCATATTGCCAAATAATATGATTCCGACTTTGGAGAGAGAGTTGGCAATATTTATTTTCATAACCCTCGAATATATAATTTTGGTTCTTGAAATGTATACTTTTTTAAAAAGCTGAAATTCCATGAAGCAGGGAATATGGGAGAGGGAAAGCCAAAGATAATCACTGAAGGGTAAAAAAAAAAAAAGGAATTTATTAAGTAATTATGGCATATGAATGTAATGGAATATTATGCAGCTGTTAAAATTATGTATAGGAACATCATGAAGCAATGTAGGAATTAGCAGTATAATAATATGTTTTAGAAGTAGGATCACTGCTTCATTCAACTCAAGAGGGATTTGTAGGCTATTATAACTGCAAGAGATACCTGTTCTAGCCCCCAGCTGCCTCACTGACTTGTCTCTACTCCTCTCCCTCTCCCCACCTCTCACCCTGAGGCAGCATCCCGGACTTCCCGGCTCCCTCTCAAACACTCTGGGCTCAGTCCCACTTTGGGCCTTTGCATTTACAGTGCCCTCTGCCTGGAAAGCTATTCGCACATTTATCTATGTGGCTGGTTTTACTCATTCCTTCTACGTGGCTGACTTTATTTAGCTCTCTGCTCCAGTGCCACCCAGTGAGAGACTCCTTTCCTCCAATCCTGTCTAAAAGAGCACTTCCATCCCATCACTCTCTACTTAGCCTGCTCTGCTTTTCTTCACATCACTTATCAGCACTGAAATGGTATCTGCATTTGCTTCCTTGTTTACATAAGGCCCTGCTTTTCATGGCTGTATTTTGAGCACTTACAAAATACAGTGGCAGGCACATAGTAGGAACTCAATGAATGGTTTCTGACTGACCATAAATGCATGCACACGAACAAAAGACTGAAAAGAATCTTGAAAAAATGATCATTTGCCTGAAAATGAAAGGAAATCAGGTATTTTCTCTACACCTTTCTGTAGTATTATAATAATTTGATAATTTAAAAGTAAAATTAGCAAAGTATTTAAAGTATTTAAGTAACATTTATATATATATGTAAGCCTAATATGTGAATTGTCCCAACAGGTGTTCAACTGGAAGACCGATCGCTCGCTATAATGTGCGCTGACCACCAGGGGGTGGTGCGGAACGAAGGGAGGCCCTGGCCAGCAGCCAGAAGGCCCTGATTGGCCCTGATCACCGGCCAGGCCTAGGGATCCTACCCATGCATGAATTTCGTGCACCGGGCCTCTAGTAATAAATGTTTAGACAGAGACTCATATTAGGTTTAGTTTAACCCAATGATCTCCAGGGGAAGACATTATTCTAAGAAACAAAGAACTGACAGCAGTCAGAACACCTTACCAGTGTCTAAAGTGGCAGTCTTCTGTGTCTCATCGCTGGGCTGGGAATCAGCTGTTTTAAGGTCATTGCTCTCGTTTCTGTTTTCCGCTTCGGAGGACCTGAGTTTTGAGCCCCTGAGGAATTTGTTGACAAATGACATCCGGGGTTTGGTTTCTCCATCTGAGGAACTTTTCTTCCTCATTTGACTCATGGTCAAGTTGAAGGAGGTCTTTCTCAACAAGACATCTTCTGGTTGTTTTCTGTTTTCTAGGATTTCTGAGAAGAAAATAGGACTGTCAAGTCTGGGTGGAATCAGAACTTCCCTATGCGGGCTTTGACTTCTCCCTTTCCTTCTGTTTTTATTACTGGTAATGTTTAACATAAAAAGAAGAATGATGTAACCCAGAATCCGGGAGCCAACAGATGGTAGCAGATGTCAATCCAAAGCAAATTTGAGTTTTTAACGTTGCCCTGTTTTATTGTGAGAAATACGGGTCATTAAACACCACTTTGGCAAGTGCATCAAATGTGTCAATAGATTTTAAAGTTCAGCAGTCAATTAGCATTACCTTCTGAGAAAGTCAGTGAAAGACGATGTCGCATGCCAATAAGCTGCCTGGACCTTCACAAAACTTTCACCCAGAGGAGCGGGCCTTCAGCGTCCCCAGCCTCCTCTCTCTGCACACCGCTTCTCTTTCACTTGGCATTTTTACTCCCTCTACTCCAGCCCTGTACCACCACCCATTAAAAACACCTCGGCTGTAAAGAATCCATCCATTCCCTAAACAGAACCTACTATGGGCCAGATATTATTTGAGATTCAAGAGATTCAACAAAGAACAAGACACAGCTCACGTCTTAACCTGGTGGGAAGATAGACCTGTGTGCCAATGAGGACACAGGGAGAAGGGCCATCAGCGAGGAGAGACCCAAAGAGTCAGAGACCCCACAGTTGGACTAAGCCTGCTTTGGAGAACAGACTTGGAGCAGTGAGCGACATTGCCTGGGTATTAAGAACTAGGAGTTAGCTAAAAAAAAAAAAAAAGAGAAGGCAAAGTGTCCCAGGCAGAAAAAACACACAAAAAAAAACACAGAGGCTCACTGTTTAGGCGTGCAGAGTCTAGTGGTTGGCTCCAGGAGTGAATTCTGGTTTTTAGGGAGCAGGCTATGTAAGGGGGCTGCAGGTAAGCGGAGGGTCTGGTGTAATGTAAGGCTGAAGATTCATGAGGGTCACTCTGTTACCTCCTGGGATTTGCTTGCATTTTAAAGGTTAAAGACTTAAACTAAAGGGATAAACCTGTAAATGGAATTTCAAATTCTGTTCATAGAATTTCGATCCTGTTCTTGGACCAGGGCCTAACAGTCTTATATTCATCAAATGTTCATGACTTTCTTGCTATACAGGAGGTATTTCTGTAAGACTATGTTTCAGAATGGTTCAAGAAACGTTTTACACAGGGACTCCTAAAAAAGACCTTGCAGAACCCACCTTCACATCTGGGGGATGGATGTTCCATACACCTGGAGTACTCCTTTAGAGGTCACAGATGGGCATCCGTTTCTTTTTACATTTTCTTTCCAAATTAGATCAGGGTCCACTCAGCCCAGGTTTACCCAGGAGGACACAGCAATAGGTTGGAAGGTTGCCCCAGAGCTGACCAGAGCCTCAGGGGGAAAAAAGAAAGAGAGAGAGAGAGAGAGAGAGAGAGAGAGAGAGAGAGAGAGAGAGAGGAAGGAAGGAAGGAAGGAAGGAAGGAAGGAAGGAAGGAAGGAAGGAAGGAAGGAAGGAAGGAAGGAAGGAAGGAAGGAAGGCCTTCAGCTCATGAACCCAGCCACAACCTGCAGCCCCAGCTGCCCCACTGAGATTTCACCGTCACCCTACAGGCCCTTCTCCTTCTGCCCCAACCCAAGACTTACCTCCAGGGCCATCTTCACTCAGTTTCACCTTGTGGAGGCATACACAGCCATTCTCTGGAGAGCCATCCCAGGAAATGGTTTCCCTCCGCCCACCCTCACCCCCTGAATGCACTGACTCTAACTCCTGCGTCTTAAGGAAACACTGCGGGACGGTGCTCCAGGATGTGGTAATTTACCCAAGTGAAACCCCACCCGGCTGGGAGGCCCAGAGTCCACTGCGGGCAGAATGGGAAGGGCCGGGCAACCAGGGAAGGCGAGAAACTGCACAGGACTCCAGGGATCAGAAGAGGAAACCAAAGAACGGTGGGCAAACTGGGGAGGCAGAAAGGAGAGAAACACAAGAGAGGCTGAGAGGGAGTGAGAAAAGGAGCAAGGATGAGGAAGGCAGATGTGTGAGCACAGGGGTAACAGCATCAGCAAATTTCTTTTTTTAAAAAATATATTTTATTGATTTTTTACAGAGAGGAAGGGAGAGGGATAGAGAGTTAGAAACATCGATGAGAGAGAAACATCAATCAGCTGCCTCCTGCACACTCCCCACTGGGTATGTGCCCACAACCAAGGTACATGCCCTTGACCGGAATCGAACCTGGGACCCTTGAGTCCGCAGGCCGACACTCTATCCACTGAGTCAAACCGGTTAGGGCAGCAAATTTCTTAGTATTCAGTATAGGAGGGCACTATGCTCACACTTAGGGAAAAAAAATTGCTTCCGAAATATGTTTAGGAGGTTGCTCTTTGTATACAAACTTCAACAAGTGCTCAGGTTTCCCATGCTAATTCAAGCTTTAAGATCAGCTCACACACAAACCTCTTCTCTTCCCCTTTGTGAAGGCAAACCCAACATGACCACCAGACTACAGCAGCTAAGTACTGGGGGTTTGTCTCTTCCCCGGGATCAGGAGCATTTACTCGAGAGCCCTCTGGGAAAACGAATGGCTGGCATTTCAACTCAACTTCACAATGTTAGTTGCTTTCAATATTTACAGTATTATCAGTAGGTAAGGTTATTTGTCATGGAATGCCAAGGACAATAAAATATTTCTTGCACTTAAGTGGTTTTTGTTTATTTATTTTTGCAAAAGTGAGAATACCTTTCCTTTCTTTTCCATCCTTAGGTTTGGGCTTAAGATACACTTAACATTTTTGATCCTGCCCTTGCCAGTTTGGCTCAGTGGATAGAGCATCGGCCTGCGGACTGAAGGGTTCCAGGTTCGATTCCGGCCAAGGGCACATGCCTGGGTTGCGGGCTCGATCCCCAGTGTGGGGAGTGCAGGAGGCAGCCGATCAATGATTCTCTCTCATCATTGATGCTTCTATCTCTCACTCCCTCTTCCTTCCTCTCTGAAATCAATAAAGAAATATATATATTAAAAAAAAATTTTTGATCCTCTTTCAGAGTGAGTCATATTTTCAGTGTTGCTTGGAAAAGGGAAATGCACTTTGTTTTTGAAAAGGAAGAAAGTCCTGCACACACTACACGAATGAACCTTGAGGACATTATACTAAGTGAAATAAGCCAGTCACAAAAGGACCAATACTGTATGGTCCCATTTCTAGGAGGTTTCTAAAGTAGTTAAATTCATAGAAACAGAAAGTAGAATGGTGGTTGCCAGGGCCTGGGGGGGAGGGGGGTGAAGGAGGGAGGAGACAGGGTAAACAAGGAGCTATTTAATGGGTACACAGTTTCAGTTTCACTAGATGAAAACGTTCTGGAGATTTGTTGCAAAATAATGTGAATGTACACTTAAAGATGGTTAGGAGCTGTGCATTTAAAAGTGGTTAAGGTGGTACATTTCTTATGCCTTTTTTAAAAAACCACCACATAAAAATACATATGTAAAAGTATATAAAGTGATTCAGAGGACCAGGGCTCTAAATGAAAAGAAGTTTTAGGAATACCTTAATCAGTTTCTGCCTTTATGTTCCTTTTTATGTATACACAAGTGTGATTTTTTAAAAAAATCCATGCTTAATTATGTCTAAGTAGGTTTTAATAAGTATAAAACTCCTAGGCAATAAAAACAACTTAATCCAGTCACTCTGTTCTAAAGCATCTGGTGGCATTCAGTGCCTTTTTAAAAAATGTATCTTTATTGTTGAAAGTATTACAGATGTCCCATTTCCCCCACTGACCCCTCCACCTTCCCCCCAACCTTCAGCGCACTACTGTCTGTGTCCCTGGGCATTCAGTGTCTCAAGTTATATGTCTGATGGGCTGGGTTCAGCCCTATCCAGACTGTTGTCTTGAAAATGCATTATTATAGATCTATTCCTATTTCTATTAATACTATTATTCTCAGTTAAGTTAAGCAGAAAAGGGAATTTATTAAAAGGATAGCAGAACTTCTATTAAAGGGACAACACAGCTGAAGATGCCCACTCCTTTTGAATCTATTTAAACAATGATTAAGGGATTCAAAATCACTTTGTTAATTTGAAAGGATAAAAAGAACTAGATAGATGCCAGCATAATTTTGCAATCTACAGCATGAGGGTGAGTTAAACGGACTCTACACTAAAATGCCTGCTAAGGTTGGGGGAACAAATTTTTCAAACTTCAGAACCCCAAAAGGCTCAGTAATTGAACCAATGATTATACCAGGCAGCTCTGAAGGAGAAGGTTAGTATGGGTGGAGCTGAAAACAGGACGATTAGTTAAAAACTTGTAAGAAGTTAAACTATTAAATTCCGTTCCTCAAGCCAGGGCAGCCAGAGGAGACTGCCTTTTCCCCATCCTGGCAAAAGACAGAAAGTTTCTTTTCAGGGCAGGTTGAAGCATAGAGGATCTGGTCATGTTTTGAGTACCTTATTGGGAAGGGAGGTTAGGTAAAGTCTACCTATTGAACCATGAGACCCTTTCTCATTCCCCTTTTGATTCCTCTCAGAACACAATGGCCACTAAGCTTAACCACCCTCTACCACCACCCAATGAAGTTTTGTGGGAGGACACGACTAGGGTGTGTCCTAAGAGAAAAGACCTACAGATAATAACTGTTGAGAGTCCCTCAACTAAATGAAGTCCTGCATATATAAGCACAGAGCTCCCAATATCATGCCAAATTCTATATATGCGTGAAGGTCTGTCTGGGATCCCAAGGTAACAGGAAGAAGACAGAGACCAGTGTTCAGTGCAGGATCGTAGGTGCAGGCAATGCCCTCCTGGCTTCCCCACAACCCCTACCATTTAGTCCCCGGCATCTTCATTCAGCCATGCATCCCTTATTGTGCAGTGAGCTATCAGGGAGGACATAATGGCAAACCTGCCCATGGGATCCTCAATCCTGTTTTCGTATGCTGGGCCTCAGTTGTTTCCTGCAGTGAACTTTCTCCTTATCGAGAAGTTGTAACACGAGGAA